CCTTATGCCCAAATTTATTTTGGAAGATTTCTTCAGTTCAAAATTGTAAGTCAAATTGAAAAAATATGACAACAATTGAAAGAATGTAACAAAAAATATTCACTTTTTTATTGTCCTATTTTTACGCGATTTTCTTAGATATTATCCTTTTCTGGCAAGAGACCATGCCAAATTGATGAGAATTGTGAAAATCTGTTCAGTGGTTCCTGACATATAAGGACAATAACTAAGATCTATTTCTTTTAAATATATATTGTACCCATTTTGCTATATATCACATATCTTGGCTAACAGCATCACTGTAATGGCCACAAGTGACCTTTTAATGTATTTGTGATGAAAATATTCGCGGTTTAGTGAAAATTTTAGTATTTTTTGACATAAAAGTTCAAGTTCATTTTATCTGTTAAATATTGTCCGATTACCATCCAAATTGGTTAGCTTCTGCCCAGCCCTTAACTCTAACTCCATACAAATTTTCGCGTTGATTGGTCCATAATTGTCGTCTATAGAGCAACTGCAAAATCAGATTTTTTTCACTTTTTTGTTCAATTCAACCCTTAATAACCCCACCTCCATTTTCAATTTCCTAAGGTTCGGCCACAATTGCAACTTGTAGCGTGATTACAAATTAACATGGACAGACGGATGGAAGGACATAGGAAGATCCGGTGCCATTTCCCTATGTCGAAAGCCATTATTTCGAGGTGTAACATAATTTTTGGTCCAATAAAACATATAATACCCCCCAACACCTAATTTGTAGGGTATAACTACAAATGAATTTTTTTAAAGCTATTTTTGAATTTTTGTAACAATTAACTAACTATAAAAAATATTATGTGTTTTAAATTTTTATACCCTCAATTAAGGACCTTTTGTAAAATAAATATTTATCGTAGGCCGAATCCTCATCTAAGACCAACCCAAAATGTCAAATTTTGGCTGATTGGGTTGAAAATTATGCTTGTAATACAGAAAATACCGAGCTAATGTTATATGGGACCGGTCCATTTTCAATACAAATGGCTCTGGTTTTTGCAAATTTGGGTTCCTGTATTAATTTAAACAGACGGTTGGACAGGAAACTGATAATTGTTGCAACTACTAATTATTTTAATTTAAAATTAAATTTGATATTTCACAGATTTTTACACCATTTTCCAATATAATTCTGAAAATACTAATTCAATTCGGGTATTTAATTTGAAATTCATAGATTTTATTTGAAATTCAGGGAGTCTATTGAAAAAACAGATAATTAGTTTTATTAAAAAAAATCTACTTACATTCCAGAAAATACGTCAATTACAATATAAATTGTTGTAATTCAGAATATCTTAAAAAAAATTATAAATTTTAAATCCTTCAGAACCAATGAAATCTTCCAGAATCAATGATGTGCATTTTTTTAAGTTTTATTCACACCATTCTAATTAAAGCTAATCGAAATTGTATTGTATTGTATTTCAAATAAATAAAATATGTGACAAAATAAAACAAATGAAAATAAAATGAATTTTTGAATTTCAAATTTTGAATTTTTACTATTTTTTTATACCCTACAAAACTATGTGTTGGGGGTATTATAAGTTCGATTGGGCCAAAAATTATGTAAAACCACGAAATATTGGTTCCCACATAGGAAAGTATATATGGATCTTCCTATCTCGCGGAGCCTAGTCGATTTAGCTATGTATGTCCGTCCGTCCGTCTGTCCATGTTAATTTGTAATCACTCTACAGGTCACAATTATGGACCGATCTTCACGAAATTTAGAAATTTTGGAGATGATCGCATAATATTTTGGGGTTGAAATGGACCAAAAACTGAAAAAATTCCTGATTTTGCAGTTGCTCTACAGGTCGCAATTATAGACCAATCAAAGCGGAAGCATGGGGATAGAGCTTAGGGCTGGGCAGAAGCCATCCATCCATTTAGTGGGTGAAATGGGCTACAACATTTGTGCTAAATAAAAGTCAAATTTTCCATTAAACCGCGAATATTTTTATCCCGGCGAAATCACAAATAGACGAAAAGGTCAATTCTGACCGTTACGTAGATGTTGATAGTAAATATATCGGTTATATATAGCGAAATATATACAATGTGTATATACAAAAGAATGGCTGTACCGATTTTGACAAATTTTATCAATTCAGAATTCCCTCCTGACATAAAAGTATAAAATCTAATAAATCGCGGAAAAATATGCCAATAAAGATGTTAAATAGATTTTGTAGTATTTTGTGACATTTTTTTATTTTTTCATATTTTTTATCGCATGCGATTTTTTCAATTTGACTTATAATATTTTGTAATATTTTTTCAGCTTACAACACAGGTTGGGGTTATTATATACAGAATGCAAATAACGTCTGATCCTCACGAAAATGTTCACAAGGTTAGGGTTGGGCTCAGAAGGGCTAGGCCTACTGTTTTCAAAGATGCCCGCAATATATTAGGGGTTGAAATGGTCACAAATAGAAACCAAAGGACACGAAATCTCGCATAAAGTTAGAGTTTAGGACAGCGAGTACAATAGACCACTAATTTTGTGTGAAAAATTACCAGCATTAGTTACAGGCGATATCCGAAATATACAAGAGGCAAACTTCTGGCTTTTTTATGCTGATTTCGTTGACGAATATAGCCAAATATCGTATACAAGCAAATCATATAGATGAGTCTTAATTTGAAGATACAGAGGGTCTTCTTGCTTTTGGCGATGATTGCAAAATATTTAGGAGTTCAAATTAACCAAAAACAGAAATGTTTTTGCGATCACACAATTGAAGCTAATCGACACGCCTTTGAAGAGAGTTAAGGACAGGGAAGAATTCTAGCATTTTGGATGACCATTTGATTATATTTAGCTGTAAAATGGACTACAACAACTAACAGCCCGACGGAGTGCATAAATGTTGGGCAAATGTCCCTAGTCAAAATCTTAATTTCAAAAGAGAAATCTTCCAAAATGGATTTGGACATAAGGGGGCTTTTAACATATGTAGTGTTGTAGGGTATAACATATTCGGCCCCGCACGACTATAGCCTTTGCTTACTTATTTTGAATTACCATTTAAAATGGTTGGTTGGTTAAAATTAGGTAAAATATCGGTAGCGTATGAAATTTAGTGTCACATATATATAACTTCATCTGAATCCCACTTTTGGAATTTGTTTTTTGCAAAATGTCCAGTCAAGGAATTTTGTGACCGACCCGTAGAATCATTTGTACAAAATATGAGTCATAGGGTATACCCCTATTTCACGTATTTTCTTATGTTTTTGCCATACTTTTTCAAATAAATTTCCTTAAGTTTTGGTAATTTTTTTTTTCAATTATTTGTCATCTTAGCTTCTATGAGGATAGAAATTTCACAAAAAATTTTCCAATGTCAATGTTTCGGAGTAGAGTCCATATAAAGGTCACGTCTGATTTTACCTATTACGAGGATCTTGACCAGATATTCCAATCGAGGGTCTTGACCAGATTTTCCAATTTTTAGCCAAAAATGTGTGTTTGTTCTTACATGGTGCTTTTGTAAACAGTTGATACACACTTTTTTAATATATATGCTAATCATTAAGGTTTCTAACTCTCAAATTAAAACACCATAAACCGACCGGTAAGTGAACATGTTTTGACATTTTTGCAATTGGTATTTATTTCTATTTAGTCGAGTCATTATTTATAATGAAAATTGTGCCACTTATATGAGGCAGATCTCTGAATTATTACCCTTTAAAAAATATGCATTAAAGGCTAAAACTGCGGACCGGCAACGCGGGTCGAGGCAGTTGATTTTTTTATAAAAAAAACAACAATAAGAACCCTTGGATTAAGCCCGAATGCTATTGAGTAACAAAATAACTACAGTATCCCAATAAACAAAGGCCACATCTTTTTTTTTTTTTTGGTTTCCATAGATTTATTATCAATTTATTCTTTAACTGTTTATTATACCTTTGCTGGTAATATTTTTATTGACTCAATCAATATCAAATCAAAAATTTAACTCAAAACGCCTTTCCTTCATTAATTATTTATTCATTTGCCCACATACACATCCCCAAACTACTACATATACTCATATTTATTCCACACACAACTGTCACAATATTTCCTAACTTTTTTTCAACATTGCTTAACTTTTCAAAAGGACATATCTTCGCCGAACAAACATTTTTCCAATTTACGTCGGGCAATCACTCGAACCATAATCAGACCAAAGCTAAAGAGTTGTATATTAATGGTTGTTTGGTTAGATGGTTCGTTGTGGAAAAGTTGTGGTCGTTTGTAGAAAAAGGCTATGGCTATGGCCACAATGTTGCCGGTGTCGTTGTGTTATTTTTTCCCCTTCCTTTTATGTGTTTTTTAACTTCTTACTTTTTTTTTTTTGAAAAACCTATGGCTGAAATACATACATACGTATAGGATTTTGGTCGTAAATCCTAATTATCCTTCGACAGAGTTTACGAAAATAAACGATGTTGCCAAAAACAACAAAAACGAAAAAAAAACATGAAAACCACACACATAAAATGCTATGTGAAACAAGAACTTAAGCTTATAACGAAGTCAACAACATATGTAAGCCAAAAAGCGAAGTCCAATTTAATGCTTCGTAATGGAGTTTTGAGGAAAATGTAAAGGGGTCAAAGAAATAACGAACTGTTGCAAGGAAATCGGAACATTGGTTTTAACTGTGAAAATTTTGAGTTTGAAAACCGGGAATCATAGAACTCTTTATTACCTCCACAAAAAAAAGGGAATTCTACTCTTTTTTATTTACGATGAACAAGTATTTTTTTTTTAATCTAATAAGGCTATTTAGCCCAATTTAATTCTCCATGAATATGCAGTATTCAAACTCGTTCTTTTTAATCAACCACATTTAATTTTTCGATCTTGATCCATGTTGTAATACTTGTTTCTTAGAAACAAAGTCTTGAGAAACATTTGTAGGTACTATGTTTAAATTCAGAATTGTCACCTTGCTTAGTTTCTTTATTTCTTTTTGATGATGCCTCACTGTTGTGCCATTTCCTTGTTTTGTTATGGTTTCTGGTTCCTGTTGTTTGGTTTGTTGATAGATATGTTTTGGTTTTTTGACAGCTTTAATATTTCACACTACGATGTCAATGAAATTGACAAACAACACCTATGTATTTCTTTAGATTTTTATTTGACACATTTCAGATTATTTGTTACAAATTCACAAGCACACGCAGACACCTTCACTATTTGCCTTTGTTTTGCTTTTATCTCTTCTTACTTCTTTCAGAATTCACGTTTTCTGCTTTGTCGAAATGTTTTGCAAATTTTTGGAGGAAAATTATTGGCAATTCAATTATTTCTTTCTTTTTTACCGACTTTGTTTTCGCTTTGCACGAGGCTTAGAAATGTTGTTTTTGTTTCGTTAATAACTCATTTTCTTTATTTGTGTTACTCGTGTTTATGTTTCGCTCACAATCGCATACATGCTCAGACACACACACAGCGCGTTTACACGACGTTTCCGTCTCTAGGAGCCCTTGATTCAACGTTATTTTCATTCGCAATTCGTTTGATTACTTTCGTGTTATTTTTATTTTTTCTTTAAAAAAAAAGGAATCAATTGTGTGAGTGTGTTGATTCTAATATCATTAATTCATTTTTTTAATATTTAATAATATTCTTTTTAATACATTCCACACCTTCTCATACGAGACGTATTCCACCATACACAAACAACACACACAGAAGAATTTATTCCATTTACAAAATAAAAATCATAAACACGCATTCATCCGGTTCCGACGTGTTAACCGTATAGAGTTCGCGTATATACTAAAGTGCCGAATATGTTCAAAAAATTGTGTTCGTGCATTGGCTCCCCAATCAATGGATACTCTCATCTCTCTTTAATTTGAATGTTTTCGTTTGTGGGCCATTCATTGGTGTTGTTGTTTAGTTTGGTTGGTGTCTTACGGTTTTTGTGTGTTCTCATTTATGTTATGCTCGCCTCTGTCGTTGCCGTCGTTGTTGTTATTGTTGTTTTGGTGGAGTAACGTTATGTGTTGTGACTTTTGGTTAAATGCATTGGCATTTGTTTTTGTTGTTGCTAGTACTGTGAGATTACCTCAATAGAAGAGTCAATGTTAGAGGCTCCCAATAAGAATGAACACAACTCCACATTTGCTGTGTGTGCCATGCGCATGACCATCCTTGTTCTTATACTCTTTTGTATACAATTTCTCTTCTCCATAGCTTACAGACTCTCTGTTATTGTTTTGTTTACTGAGAATTTACCATAAATTTGTTTTAGGGGGAAACTTGGTTTGTTTTGCCATCATCATCCCACTCAACGACCGAGGCTGTTAAATTTACATTTTTATGTTGGGGTAGGCTGGATTTATTTAGAAAATCCCCAATTAGGGTTGTTCATTGAGAATGCATAACGGTTTTCCATTCAAAAACCAAAGAAAGAAAACTAATTTCTTAATTGCTAATGTGCCTGCCCGCCTTTTCACTTCGTTTGATCATTCTGAGGAGAAAAATTATAAAAAAGACCGCTAATCCCAAAAATTATCTTAAGAAGAAATTAACACAACCACAGGCATCATGTAGAGCAGTGGATTTCCTAAAGTCATTAAATATGTCAACGCACACATAATCCCACCATAATATTCATAAGTCGTAAAATTTCGAATTAGATGTGGCATTGAAAGAAAGCCCATAGATGGAACAATAGAAGACACATGATACCCAGTATGTACAAGTGGGTATTGTGGAGCAAAGCAATATGTAGATTTGAGGCGTCAAGTTTTAGTTAAGTTTGGTATTTCCGGGTACCGCAGAAAACAGTATTCTTAACTGTAGAAGAAACTGAAAAAATAGAAAATAGATTTTCCATTCTAGAAAAGGTGTGGCAATTATTTGTTTATGTATTATTATTTTTTTATTCCAGCCCAGACTCCAGGGGATAAATCAGAACTAATAGTTGATTAATTATTTCCAGTCATTGTAATTCCATTTCCAGCCATATGTAATTTTTTAAGGAATTTCAGAATACTTTCTCAACTTTTTCGGGGGATAATATGATCGCAACAGATAAACGGACGGACCTAGTGTATCTGTTGCTGGACGGCTGGACGAATTTTGACAATTCTCACAAATTCCTATATCAATGAAGGAAATGTTAGTTACACCGCTTATAACCCAAGAACGGCTGGACGGATTTTTATAATTGGAATGACCTCTTGCCAGAAAAGAATAAAATCGAAAAAAAATCGAATGAAAATATTCTCATAAAAAAGTGAATATATATTTATTTTTTTGTCATATTTTTTATCGCATAAGATTTTTTCATATTTGACTTAAAATATTGCATTTTTCGTTTGTTAATATTTTTTGACCTATGTTTTGGGAGTATTATACTCAAGTCGCAATTATCTCCCGATTCTAAAGAAATTTTACATGGGGATATAGTAAGGGTCAGAAGTAACGCCCATTGTTTATCAAGATGTATATTTAAGGGTTCAACTGGACCAAAAATTAAAACCTTCCTAATCTTTCTGTGGCTCTTCAGGTCACAATTAAAAACCATTTTCAAAATGTTAAATTTGTTAATACATCATATTTCAAAAAGAGGGCGATAAACATATTTCTTATGGTAAATTTTCATCCAATAAGAACTTGGAATATGGGTTTGAAATTATAACTGAAATCTTCGGAAGTCCGAATAACAAGAGATACAGCTATATGGGGCTATATCAATTAGTGGCCTCACATAGGCGTTTTTATACCCTACACCACATAGTGGTAAGGGTATTATGTCTTTGTGCATTTGTTTGTAACATGGAGAAGGAAGCGAGATATACCCATAGTTACTTTTGAGGATCTTCATAGAATCACTTTCTGAGTTGATTTATGCATGTCAGTCCATCTGTCCGTCCGTCCGTCTGTCCATGTATTCTTGTGAACAAAATGCACGTCGCATTTATTATCCGATTGAGATGAAATTTTCCCAGCAATATTTTTTTGGCCCAAGGACGAACCCTATTGAAATTGGAGATAATCGGTAAAAATTTAAATATAGCTCCCATATATATCTTCGTCCGATTTGCATTTTATTGTGCACCAAAAGTGTAATATCAGCCCGAATAGCATGGAATTTTGCACATACGACCAAATTAGGCCTGAAAATAAGTATGCCAAATTTAATCGAAATCGGTTCAGATATAGCTATAGCTCCCATATATATTGTTCATCCGATTTGATATTTTTGTCCTCCGCAGCCGTAATATTCACTCCGTAACAACTATATTCAGGGAAATATATCAAATGCAGCTCAGAAATAAATTTGCTAAATTTTATCGAGATCGGTTCAGATTTGGATATAGCTCCCATATATAACTTCGTCCGATTTACATTTTATTGTGCACCAAACGTCTTATATTTGTCCAAATGGGTTGAAATTTGGCACATACGACCGAATTGAGTCTAGAAACTAGTATGCCAAATTTGGTGAAAATCGGTTCAGATATAGCTATAGCTCCCATATATATTGTTCATCCTAGTTCTTGTATTTGTTACCCACAGCCGTAATACGCACTCCTTAACAACGTTATTCAGGGAAATATATCAAATACAGCTCAGAAATATCTTTGCCAAATTTCATCGAGATCGGTTCAGATTTAGATATAGCTCCCATCTTTATCTTTATCCGATTTCAAATTATTTTTGCACCAAATGGGCAATACAAGTCCGAATTTAAAAGATACAAATGCTTCGGCATATTTAGTCCTTTGAACTTTAAATAATAATTATAATCGTAGCGTGTATGATTAAATTCTCCTCTTTACTCTACTAAATTGGGAAAGTGGTGTATTGGTGTAGTCGGCCCCGCCCGACTTTAGGACATTCTTTACTAGTTTTATTTTACTTTATTTTTTTATTTTATTTTATTTTATTTTTTTTTTTTTTTTTGACGTGATGATATGTATCCTCTGTTGACCTGAATAGTCACATTATATATTTCGTTGGAAAATTCATTTGCCTTTTTATTAGCTTTATTATAATATTATTCCTTTTTATACCCTCCACTTTGGAAAGGAGGGTATATTAAATTTGTAAGTCCATTTGTAAAAATTCCAAATATTCGTCGAAGATCGTATAATGCATATTTAATAAATGAAATAAAATAAAATTCTAAGTCGATTTAGCTATTATTTTGACCTATAGCTTTGAAATTTTAATGAAACGGTACCTCCAAAATGTGGTATTATTGTGGATTTACCCACATTTTCCCACCAAAAATTGGTATTTGTAGTTCGTAGTAGATTCTAGCTCTTGCGACAGAACATTGAATTTGTAGGTTAACGTTTTTCTAATTTTTTTTCTTAAATTTACCAATAGAACATAAAAAATTAGCTTTTTTTGGAATTAAAAAAATAAGGACATTTGTTACTAAACACTTTGAATATAACATATAAACCGCACAGTATATTCCACCAAATCTGACCTACATTTCTGAGATAATATTGTCGGGTCCACACTTATTACTAAACAAAAAAAGGTTGCATTAAATTTAAGAGTACCTCTTTACAAATAAACAAATCTATATTTGCTCATATACGTACGTACTCATTACAAGTGAACTCATATACACCGCTACGTAAGAATTAATCAAATGCATAATAAATGTTGGTATGAATGAATGTAGCTACTTCAAAAATCGTTCAAAATCTCTGACAACATATCCTTGGAATTTTACGCTCATCTAACCTGAAGTGACATTTTCAATGATTTTAGAAAAGCGATTATGTCAATTTCACAAGGCAAGGAAATAACTAAACAAAACTATATTTAGGTGTCCTTTCAACAGAGAAAACAAAAATCTGCGCTCATTACTCTCTTAGCAAGTTTCTCTTAAATTTAAATTAGAAAAACTTTGTGCTCTTAAATGACTTGGAGTTAACATTTTTTCTTCTCACACATTTCTATTCGTTTAACATAACACACCAAGTTTGAAGTTAATAACAGATGTCAAACGAGTAGTATTAACATAACATCGTCGTTTTTGGTAGGCCAGCTCCAACAGTTGATTTGTTAATGGTAAATGTTAAATTTCGAGATTACGTTATTTACATTACGATATTAACAAAACATAAAAATGTAATGCATTTAACAGAAAAGAAAAATTAACATTAGCAGTTTTTAATAATTAAAAATAAAATTTAAGAAAGAGTTTATTATGTTGACTTAAGAGAAAATGTGACGACTTATGAATATTTCATCGGAATTTTAATACAATATTTTGAAAAAAACCTAATTAAATATTATTGTTGTTATTATAATTACTATTACGATTTAATGTATGCTAGAAATATAAGTTTATGATAAACATTCCATAAGAAATTCGTTTCCGAACATTTAAGAAGTAAATGTTCACTGGTTGCCAAAAATTGTCGAAATCGTAAACGAATAGATTATCGAATATTATCAATAAATATTTTTTTAGGTTAATTTTTAGAGACAACATTGTGGTGTGTGGAAGTTTTGGATTTCTTGTCTCGAGAGCCTAGATGTTTAAGTGTTACAGTTACAGAACAATATAACAACCGGATCAGTCTGCTGTGAATTATGGCTTTAAAGCAATACGAAGACGTGGACCTGTAGTACCCATTACGAACTTCTACCAACCTAGCCTGCCTACTAGAAGACTAGGCATGTATACAAATTTTTAGCCTTCTATCTCTATTCTATCTCTATTCTTTCGAAAGATAGCGTGATTACAACAGACAGACAGACGGACAGACATCGCTAGA